TGTCATTTGACATCAAAAGTTTCATTTAAATGGCATTCCAAGTTATTTTTGAAAAAGAGTTCAAAAAGGCATCATAACAACTGCCTTTGTTGCAAAAGATGACATTGCTTCGACCTTCCTCCTGTTTCCTGGGACTCTTCCGGTAGAGTGCAGTATATTTTGTCACTCTCACATACACATCACGGAGCTAACTAACAAAGCACAGAAAAGTTCTTCTTTACCTCCAACTACAATTGATAATTTAATTATTTTGTTCTAAAACTGAACTTAAGTTTCAAAAGCAAAGGTGAGTCTTCTCTTCAGTATCTTCTGTAATAACTTCTGGCAGTCCATTCATGCCACATTCCTCTGCCTGTAAAATAGTAATAAGAGGGAAATGATCAGAACATAAGCATGGGAAATGTATTTTTAATTATTTTTTTTACCACTTACCTGTTATGGTCCTGATTATTGAATCAATTATGCTTCCTATTGGTGTGCTAGTGTACATTAGTCCAGCTAAAATGCCTGCTAAGTGACCCATGAAAGAGGCATTGGGCACTAGAAGATGAATTAATATTAGTTCAGCCCAAGGGGCATATTTTGATGGCATAGTGAAGCCAGCAATAGTTGTTTGTGTATAATAGTTATTCTCCATGGTAGTGATGACTTTCAAAGCGAAGACTACACCTGAAACACAAAAATAGATTGCAATTTGCACTCTCTTTACAGAAAGCACTACGTGCACATATTGTTTGTAGAGCCAACCTGAAAAGCCGATTGCACAAGTCTGCAAGTAATATGCATCATGGAGCACATTAGCACAAGATAGACCAAGGGCAACATAAATACCACTAGTCAATGTGGTTATAATTGTAAGAAGAATAGCAAAGTTTAAACTCCCATATCGAGGCTCCAATGAACGAGCCTTAGACAGGAATGAAATCATATTGTAATAAAGGTGGCGATCATCTCCATGCTCCACAGCAGATAAAATAAGACGTTTCCAATCTTGATTTCTCCAAACGTTTTGAGCACTAATGCAAACGTCCCATCGATCCCAAGGGACTTGAATTATGCCAAGATAAAGAAGGGTCTGCAGAAAAATATTCAATGTAACATATCACGGCACAATGTAAGAATACCTCAAATATTGAATAGTCATAAACAGAATGCACACTACTTTACCTGACCAATAATTGTGCCAAGAGTCACGGGAGGTATTACACCAAATCCAGTGTTAAATAACTCTGAAACCAATAGCAACACTCCCAGCTCTAGACCTCTATTTCGCCGATTATTCCGCATTGCACAGATTGTTAGTGCTACTCTATCAGAGAAAATGAGAGAGCAACAGAAACGGTAAATTTAAACACTAAGAAAGACGAGTGTCAATGTTCCCCAAAGCCATTCAACAGAAAATCTAAATGGTCTGACGTGTTTCTCACCGTGTGGCTAGGTTTGGCAGGCTGCCTTGTTTACTTTTTCTCATCATTATTATTGTTTTCGGAATCCTGCGAATAATGCCCCCTGCCGAAAATGTCGGTTTCTGAAATCGGTCAACTTCCAATTCTTCCTATAGTTTGCATTTAAAGCTAGATTCATTATAATTATGTGTATCATAAACTCTTTGGCCCTGTTTGCGGCTGTATTTGCCCATTTCGAATTTAGAAGTTCAATCTCAAGCTCAAGTTTGTGTCATATGTTTGCCAACTTGTACGTTTTCCCGCCTAAACAAACTACTGTACACGCACTCGCCCCTTAAGTGTGTTCTGTGGTTCTGTGGGGATGACAGATGGTAATTCCGCTGCATTTAAATCTAAGAAGTGCTCGGCTGCGTCTTATTTGGATTACAAAGAAGAAATGGCCTCGCATGGCTCGTGTGTGTGAACGGTTGAAATGCCATTCGATTCAAAACTTTGGCCGCGAAAATCAGAACCATTGATTGGTTCGCGGGCGCGGGGCGCGGGCGCGGTAGGTCGCGGCTGGAACAGACGCTTCACATCGACGACCTGCGTTTGTTTGTGTGTTACGAAACGCGACCTGTACAACAAGAGTCCTCAAGTACTAAATGAAAACACGGTTGCGCTTAAGTAAAGCGAATGTATTGTCAATATGGTGCGATCAAAATTTCCTGGAAAGCCATCCAAGATTGTGAATCGCAAAGTGGTGAAGTCAAAGAAGTACTGTGCTCTGCACGATAATGAATCCAGCAAAGCTGCTGAAAACATTTCATATGGCCTCGCAGTTTTCAATGAAACATTTGGAGACCATGAGCAGGTACGTGACCTATTCGTGCCACACTTTCAACCCAGAATACCTACTGTCGTAGACATTACGATATATGTGGGTTTTCATCATACCAGTGTGGTTGTCAGGTTAAAAGGACACAATGAAAACAATAATCAGATGTGTTTGGCCTTGTTAAAGGGGAGCCTAAAGTGTCGCGTTCATTGTCTTGAATCAGTTGAATTTGTCATTCATTTGCGAATGTTCTCTTGCAGTGATGCTCTTACGTTCTTTCCCTGGGAGTTAGTTCCATAGACATTCTGTTGACACTGTCCTTGGTTCGAGTCCCTAATCCACCCTTTCCAAGCGCGCGCGATCCGGTGAGGTTAGAGCTGGAGACGTCCGCCATGCTGTTTAATGCCCTCCTTGTCTGCATTTGTTCTCTGGTCTTAAAAATTGATTTTGTCAGTCGTACTACGGTATGTCAATCGCAATAATTTGCTGTTCATTTTGTTCTCATTTGTTGTCTACTTTCGGCTGAATTTAGTTTTGTCCAGTAAACTGTCAGCCAACAACTTCAATGTGACCCGATGATTCCGAATGAGCCGTCTCCCCTCTCCCCCTGTTTGTTAGTTCAGTCAATGTGAATTTCACATCTTTCTTCAATTCAAATTTCATTTGATCATGTGCTGGTGATTCTATTATCTTGTTGTTTATGCACCTTATTTTTATTAATTACTCAACATCTTATATATCTCAGGTATAACATATTTTTTTATGTTTTACAGGTCTCGACAGCTTTTCATGGATTTAGTCCACATGAAGTTGAAGAAGCTGAGGCTATTGCCTTCAATCAACAACTGAAAGTTGAGCAGGAATATTCAAGCAATGGATTAAATTTCTCACCTGATGATGCTTGCCCTGTTAAAATTGATCTACCGACTCCACAACTATTATCACTTGTGAAATCTAATTTGTCTCTTATTGGTCCGGTCGGTTTCCACTCAACACGTGCTCAACGCTTAAGCCTTCAGCTTAAGAATGTGGGGGCAGGTGTATCTAAATCCTTCTCACCGTCGAAGCTCTTCAGTCCTCGTCAAAGTAACTTTAAAAAGCATGTCGCTAATCGTATTCTTCAAAAGGCTAAGAAAACAACGTTTGAATCGTCACCCTGTGGCAGATTGACAAACTCCCAGTTTGACAAAAATGGTGCGCTCAACAGAAAATTTGTCCTTCCTAGCAGAAGCATGCGCTCTTCGCGAGTTATCAAACCTAACAAAAGGTTTTTGGAATCAGAGGAAAAGGAAAAGGAAAAGGAAAAGGATTTGTTATTAACAGACAACCAAGCTCAACCATCACATACTAGAGTCATTGAGTTGAAAAAGCCCCGACTCATTCTGGATGCCAATAATGAAGTTTTAGCTCTCAGATCTGTTGGTGATAAAGTGAATTCTACAGATGCTATATTTGTCCTCACTTCTCCATCATGCAGTGGTGTTAATGGGAACAAAGAGCATGTAAAACTGGGAGAGCTAAATGTATTTGGTGCTCCTACAACCCGACCGAAACGGAGAATATCTCAATCAACAAGTTGTGATGGAAGTCCAAAGAAAGAGCCATCCAGTGCTTCCTCACCACCATCAAAAGTTGGTCCTACATCAGATCCCCCATCGCCATCAAGATCAAAACTCATTCTGAGGGAATCGAAACTAAACATCAGTCCAACAAGAGACAAACAAAATGAAAAGCTATTGTCTAAAAAAACTAAGAAAAGTGAGTGCTAGTCTGCAGAGGTTTACCATCTTCTCCCCTTCATTTTTTCTACTAATCTTTTTTTTTTAAATTAATGTTTGTAGGTCTCAACATCAAAGTTTTGAAGTCTCCTGGGACATCTATTGAATGCAGTGTGTGTGGTGCTGTTCGTTTCCACCGGCTTACCAAACAGTCTTTTAAGTTTGGGTTAATATGTTGTGATCCTTGCCGTAAATTTATTACAAAAATGATGTTAAGGTCTAGATCAGCAGAAAGCAGTGTTCCATGCGAGATTGGTCAAGGTACTATTAATCAAAGTACAGGGTAATTTCAATTTTAAGTGTTAAATTACTTCAATGAATTTGGTTATTGCAGGTAATTGTGCTGTATCTTCACCATACAAAGGTGAAAGTTTTGCTACCAAAGTAAATCGCTGCTCAGCCTGCTGGTTGCTCTTGTGTGTCCAACGACTCGTGAATATGCCTGAAAAGGTCCGTGATAGTCTTATCCGGATGCTACCAGCCAATATGCAGGGTATGACTGTTGTTCTTCTGCCCATGACGAATGTCAGTCATGTGTCTAATGCCCGAAACAGGCGAAGAAAAGGACAGAGCATACGGGAATCAGAAGGAGAAACTTCATCCTCACCAACACAGAATATGAAATCTAAACCAGCTTGTGGTCAGGGCACACCAAATTCTGCTAAGAAGTTGTCAACTTCATCATCCAGTAAAAGAGTTCCTCAAACTCCCATTGCCAGGATTAAAAGAAAAGTGAGTTCTTCTTTAAAATTTAATTTTTCTGAGCCATTTGTTCCTCTTTTCTACTCAAGTTTACAAACTTTCAGGCTGCTTTGGTATCTCTGGCAAATAACTTGAGACGAGTCAGGGAGAAAACCTTCAATTCGGTCAATCCTCAAACGTCTTTGAAGATTAATCTTCCCTCTGGAGACGCAATTACAAAGCAATCAAAGATCAAAAAAGTAAACCTTTCTCGAAAATCAGTGCATAGTACTAAATGTCCTGAGAAACCTATCAGGGGTGCCAGCAAAAATTTGGAGAAAAATAAGGATGGACAAGTCAGACAAAAGCTCAGTCTGAAAGGTCCAAGAGTCAAACATGTTTGTCGCAGTGCTTCCATTGTGCTTGGTCAACCTCTTGCTACATTTCCTATGAAATCTCCTAATTCTGCAACTCTCGAATCTGATGGTACAGGTAAGGCTTTCAGTAAATTTCAATTTATTATCTATCACATACAACTAGAAAGTTAAAACTCTTAGCAGCTCCAATATTTCACTTGATAAATCTTTTTATGTATCAAGCTTTTTGCCTCCCTCCAGATGTGCTTGCTGTTAATCCTGAGGTGCATGTACAGAGGTAAGTTTATTGTTTTCTGTAAAGCTTTTGTAAGTGACACTTCTGTTTCAAAATAAATCTAATTTTATGTATGTATTTTCATATTATCCTCAGAAATGATGATGACTTGTGTGGAAATATACTGAATGAGCAATACAAAGTTCCCACTGTTGCTGATGGAAGGAAGCAAAAGCATGCAGTGACCAAGCCTCTATCAGAACCTGTTGCTGCATTATCCTTCGCCCCAGGACAGAGTACCAAAATACTTCCAAAGTCGTTCCCTGATCTTCCAGCTTCAATTTTACCTGGAAGAAAGATTACAAAGCATCCATATATCCCTAATCAAAACAAAATTATTAAGGTAATGTCAATGTCCCTTTCATATTTATTTGCTTTGGCTTGGCTTTGGCATGGCCAATGGATATGGTTGGGTGACATACCAGTTGAAGGGATGCTGAAAATCGATTGATTATTTTATTCAATGGCTTACCAGTTCACTTCCTCTCTCTTACCATTTCAGAAGGGACAAAGAAGGACTCTACAAGATTTAGGAGTATGCAATACTCCTTCGAACATTCCGCTTGAATTGGTATCTTTAGATTTCTGGGAAAGCTACGATCCAGATGAAGTTTGCAATTCGGGCTTCAGTCTCTTGGGATTTGGCCCTCTTGTTTCAAAGCCCATCTGTTTTCTCTGTGGCAGTGCAGGGAAAAAGAAGGTTTACTGAATTTTTGTACTTTTTACATAATAGTATCATATTTAGAATCTCACCACTCTATAATCCTTTGTTACCATTTCTTTCCAGCTCATTCATTGCGCTTCTTGCTGTGAGCCATACCACAAATTTTGTGTTGAAATGGGTGTTGGTGGTTGGGTTGGTCCTGCTGCCACTCAGTCAAATGCTGAAGAATGGCGTATCGATTGGGTTTGTCCTCGGTGCACTGTGTGCCATGGCTGTGGGCATAACACAGGTCACCAATTGACAGTCTGCCAAAGATGCCATCATTCCTACCACTTCGAGTGCCTTGGAACCTCCTCTTTACGTAAAAGTGCTGGAGACCGTTTGTGGGTAAGTTGCACGGCTATGCCATGACTAATTCTTACTGTGGTCATCACAACTGGTCAATACTCACTGGTTTGATCCTGTTTCAGATTTGTTCATCATGTTTGCGATGCAAGAGCTGTAATAGTTCTGATGTCACAAAATTTGTTGGAAATCTACCATTTTGCAAAATTTGTTTCAAACTGAGACAGAAGGGCAACTTCTGTCCTCTCTGTCAAGGTTGTTACACAGATGATGACTATTCTTCTAAGGTTAGTTTTCTGTCTTTGCATTAGTTTTCTATCTTGGGGACCCTTTTTATTACCTTCTGTGCAAAGCCATCCTTAAGCTCCTCTATGAAAGGGACTATTTTACAGGGTCCATGCTGTGGACAATCTCAATAAACATTACCAGTAATTAAAGTATCTTTTTCAATCTTTTTAGATGATGGAGTGTGCTGATTGCAAACAGTGGGTTCATGCAAAGTGTGAAGGGCTGTCTGATGAAAAGTATCAAGTGCTAAGTTATCTACCGGAATCTGTCGAGTTCATTTGCAGGTAAGTTTTTCTATCTAATGCTTTTATTTGGTTCTTTTTAACACTTTTTAATTCATTAATAATGTACATTCATGTCTTCCCAGGTTGTGTTGCTCTTTTCCACCTGCTCCATGGTGGGTGGCTGTAGAATCTGAAATTCAAGCTGGCTACAGTAATATTATCAAAGCAATCACTAAAAACAGGAGAGCGTATGCTATGTTAAAATGGAGCCCTCAAAAGACTTGTGATTGTCCGCAGCAATCACCTTTTACAGTTCCCAGAAGTGTTGTGGTTCCCAACATTGGAAAACGGAGACTATCTTTTAATATGCAGTCCAATGCGGAATGTAATGTGGGATTGTCTAGTGTTTCACAGTCTGATCAAAAGCAAATATTGGGTGACTTTATGCTGACCAAAGAGTGCCCATCTGTGTTTGAGTTTGATGATGTTATTGATGCTGGTGAAAACACTCCTATCGCAAGATTTACTCATGCCAAAGAAAAGGGGAAAAGTGCATCTGAAGGAAACAAAATTGCTGTCTGTAGCAGTGATCCATTGCAAAAACCTGGTCAGAGTGTCCAGTATTCTCCTAATGCTGGTTCACAGAGTGATTCTGGTGTAGGGAGCACTGATGATGAGTTAAAAACAAGTTCAGCTGCTGAAGAGGAAGATATTGAAGAAAGCAATGCAATTGGGAGGCCACTGCATGTATGTCAATGTAACAGTCAAAGTTCAAAACATCCCTTTGCTTCATTGCTCACTATTAAGAAGAAAGTTCATAGCAGTGAATATCCATCAATTCTCGACTTCCATCGAGATATGGATCAACTTATAAATGAGGCTGAATCTCAAGAAGTAAAAGAACTCTACCATCAAACCTTACAGGAAGTTTTTCCGTGGTTTGATCCTAAATACCACAGGATCAATCGCAACTCATTCCCCATGAGTCCATGCAAACCACATCAAGGATCTCTTCTGCAATACCAGTCCAACATTTCATCACCTGAGAAACCCAGCCAAAATTCATCATCTCTTCAAATATTAGACAGGCTTTTACCAAAACATGCAACAAGTGGTCTGGAGGATGAATATTTTTACTATGACACCAAGCTTGACGATGAGCGGCTATGTGGCTTTTGTAAACTTGTTGGTGATGGTGAAGCTAATGCTGAGGGAAGACTGCTATATTGTGGCCAAAATGAGTGGGTCCATGTCAACTGTGCATTGTGGTCAGCAGAAGTCTTTGAAGAAATAGATGGGGCACTTCAAAATGTCAGTAATGCTTTATCAAGAGGACGCATGATAAGATGTTCCTTTTGTGATAAAAAAGGCGCTAGTGTTGGATGCTGTGCCAAAAAATGTGAAGAAACACTCCATTTTCCCTGTGCTCGTCTTGCGGGGTTTGTGTTCATGGAAGATAAGAACGTCTTTTGTCCACTACACAGAAAAGATGCACCTGGTAAGCCTTTAGCCAGACCCTCTGATTTTGATGTCAGTCGTCCAGTTTTTGTAGAGCTGGACCGTAGAAAGAAAAAATGTATTGAAAGCAAGTATGTCAAAATCATGATTGGGTCTCTATCTGTGCAAAATCTTGGAACAGTAATTCCTGATGTGTCAGACCAGGCATCATGCATTGTTCCAACCGAGTTCTGCTGCACTAGACTGTTTTGGTCTTCTAAAGAACCATGGCGTGTTGTTCGTTACACAATTAGAACAACAATTAGAATACCAGCCTCCTTAGAGCCTGTTTCTGATCTTGTTGAACATATAACCGTTGATCATTCAAAAGAATCATACACATCCGATCCCAAGCTAAGTTCTATGAGAAATGTAGAAGCTAATTGTGGGACAACCTCTAATAAACTATCAAAAATTTCTTCTTTTCCCTCAAGAAATAAGGAAACTAATTGTATTGGAAATACCACAGTTGATATGAGTACTGACCTCAGAGTTGTTCAGTCTGTTATGGTTCATATTCTTGATGCAGTTAGCAGTAAAGAGACAGATGAAGAAGTGTCTGACCCACAGACATCGGCAGACCTCCTTCCCCCCGAACTTAAGGATGCAATATTTGAAGATCTGCCACATGACTTATTAGATGGTATTTCCATGCAAGACATTTTTCAAGACAAATTTTTAAATTTTGAAGACCTAGGAAAAGATGAAGTCCAGGATGAAACAAATGGTTCAAAATGTGACATTGACAAAACAAGACTTAAATCTTTGAAAGCCTGCAGAGAACTAAAAAGAAGTAAATCTGATGTCCTGCCAAGCAATTCGTCTCAAGTAGATAGCCGCCTAAACCAACGCTCATGTAGCCTTGCCTGGAGCTATAAATTGGGCACAAGTCTTCGCTTATCAGTGAAACCAGCCCCTAGTGTTGATTTGCATTATTGTATAGCAGGACCTGGCGACAAAGGAAAGGAGAATAAGTCTCTAACCAATCTGCCGATAATGCAGGTAGATGGATCTCATGATATTGTGTTGAGCGGTAGTGAAGACTCAGACTCAGAATTAGGGAACATGACACAAGGTCTGGAGCAGAAGAGAATTGGTTGTAGAACGCCAATGAATTTCACATCCAATTTTGCAGAGGACTCAGCACTGCTGTGTAACAGAATTGAATGCTTGAAAAGTATTGCATCTGCTACCTTGTCTCAAAATGTAACTGTCAACAATGTTTCTGAGGGATTTCCCAATGAAGACTTAAGGAAGTACAAGCGCAGGAAAACAAAGAAGAGTTCTTGTGAGAAAATTTCTTTGATTCCTCAGTTGGATGGTGTGAACGATATATCGAGTGACAGTGAACAAGAAGGAGCTTCTAATAAACCATCTCCAAGTGAAGAAAAACCTGTGAGATGCAGTAGATGTGGTTGCACTTACCGCACTGAGGAAAGTTATACCCGCCATTTACCTAGCTGTTCTGGAGATTTCTCCTTAACAACAAGTGAAAGTGAAGCTGAAATTACTGATGATGAAACAACTGCTGGCTTAAAGGCAACATCTGCTCCAAGTCCTGACAGTGCCATATCTGTATCCAGTGGCTCTCAGCCAGTAGCACCATCTATTTCACCTACAGTTTTGCCTGCAGCTTCTACTCCATGTGTACTTCCTGACTCACCTGTAGTGCAGCAAAATGTTCAAAGTACTTCTCATGGGATAAGTTCATCTGCTGCTAAGCCTGTAATGCCTTCAGTAAGTAATCTGGTCAAATCTGGCAACAAAGTGCAGAGAACACCAAATATGAAATCAAAGGCTACCAAAACATCATTTCAACAGCAGACCACTGCCAAAATTCTTATGAGAGGAAATCAGTCTGTACTTCATCAGCAAATTTATGAACATAACAGCCATCAGCAGGTTCGGCATCAAGCAATCCAACCTGCCCTTCCAACTTCCATGCCTCATCAGGCCTCGCAAATAATTACGATGTTGGACTACCAACATTCTCAACCATCTGGCCCAACTGTACTTGTGCAGTCAGTGCCCTCTCAGTCAATGGTTCCTGCCTATTTGGAAGCCTTTCAACAACATACTGGTCAAAATCTGCAGTATTTGACCACAGTTGATAATGGTGCAAGTTTTGGTAAAACTCAGTATTTAACTGCCATACCTAGTGCTGTTCTCCCAGGGGCATTTCAACTGCAAGCAATACCTGATGGCCAGCTCTGCTTGGAACCCAGTCCTGTTGGCATACCTACTCTATCTGGCATCCAATTAGCTCCAACTCAACTTGCTCCAACTTCAATATCACAAACTCAACCTCAAGTTCTTGGAACATTACTTCCTAATTCTATTTCTTGCAATGTAGTGGCAACAGACCCTATTTATGAAACAATTCAAATGTTTCCAGATCAATCTGGTGGAGTTCTACTTGCCAGTCAACCAGTGCTGACATGTATGGAAACTGTTGTCAGCAACACCTATATGTCAATGTCGTCCAGCCAGTTTGTCTCGTCTGTTCCAGGCATGCTTCAAGGAAGTAGCACTTATTCAACAACTACCACCCAGGTTTACCAATCAAACAAAGTTGATCCTCCTATTTTGGATGTTCCCACTCAGTACCTTGTAGTAAATACCCACCCATCATTACCTGATACTGCAGTCAGGAAATTGGAAGTCATGTCTGTATCTCAATCGCAAATTCAAGATCAGGCAGCCATCCAGACTCAAGCTCAGATTCAGTTACCGTCCATCAATTTACCTGTTCCTGTAACTGCTCCTCTCCCACCTCAAACTTTACCATCTGTTATTCCCACATCTGTTGTGACTCCCATGCCAAGATCTCAACCTCAGCGAACATACTCAAAACCTAGCAAAAATGCAAAGGATACTGTGGCTGCTGCTTCTGTTTCTGCTGTGAAAAGGCCTATACCACAGATGACGTGCTCCTCTATCAAAGAAGCTATGAAACTTATTTCAAATCAGTCCTCTTTGAATTGCACTCAGGAGCTTTTGTCAACAACTGACAACCACAACATTTCATCGACTAGTGTTGAGAGCAACATTGTTCTGCAAGAGTCTGTACCGAAGAATTTTTCTGGTGCTCAGTTGAGCAATCCAGTTACAACATTTGGGCCTACATCAGTGCAAGCAAGTTCATTAACCACAAATGTAGCACAAGCTAGAAGTGTAACTTTACCAGATCCTGTGAAATCGAATTTGCCTGCTCCTAGTAGCTCTAAGGTTATAGCTGTTACTGCCACTTCTGGCCCTATGAAGTGTCCACCTGTTACTTTTTCATATCGTGCGCATGCAGTTGAGAAAAGCAAATTGAGGCAAAACTTGTCATTGGATTTATCAGGTTCTACTAACAAGAAAGATAATACGTTTCAAGTCCAGACATCTAAGCCCAACAATGCCAAGCCAATTTTGTCTCATCAGCAAATTGCTGCCTCAGTACCTGGCCTTAACCCTCCCAGAAAAATTGTATGTAGTGGTGAGAAGCAAAACCAGGAAGGCCTCAGTGATATGCCTTCGGTGAGTAAGAAGCCCATTGCTGCAATTCCTCCCCTATCTCAAATAACTGTTGCCTCAAAACCTAAGAAAGTTGTGATTGATGAGACATTGAGCCAGGTCACATCCATTTCCTTGGCAACAAGTGTAAGCTCTTCAAAAGCTACTACAAATCTGAAGCCTGTTCCAACTAGAGTACCATTGCTCTCAACTTGTTCAAGTTCAGTAACCTCACAACCTTCTAGGTGTATCCCCTCTCTTCCATCTCAGAATCAAGTTGGAAAAAATGCATCCTTGAGTCTTATGACAGCAAGTATTACAAATGCAGTCACTAGCACTGCTTCAAGTGCGACAGTTACCATGAATTCTCTAAAACCTGTGACAAGCATCAAGCTGCAGGGCCCAAACGCTATTGGATTGAAGCCACTTAAAGAAATTAATCAAATGAATATTAATACAGAAGCCAAATCTCTCCAACAGAAAATTCAGGAGAAAGTTAACACAGATGTCCCACCCACTGTTTTGAAATCATCTTGTCTTAATGTAAATGACACTCAGAAGAAAACTGAGATGTTCCAATCTCAGGCTGAAATCCCAGCTGTATTTCAAAATGGAGACAATTCTTCAATCAAGTTATTGTTCCAAAAGCAGTCTCACAATGGATGTTACAAAGTTTCCTCAAGTCCAGGAAAGAAAGATGGGGAGCTTATGGCCGTGAAACTTGCTGATATCAGCATCATCTGCTCTGGATCAAAAGACAAGAAAGGAGCAAAAGATGAATCTGAAAATGTGAAGCCAGTTGAGAGAATTTCAAAGAAAAATCCATCTGGTCCTGAAATAGTTTATGAAATCCACTGCCAAGATGGGTTTTCCTATTCATCAAATTCGATATCAGATGCGTGGCAAAAGGTTTGTATTGTAGCAGTTTTCTATATTTATATGAGAAAGAAACAATGTAAAACTGCTATTAGTGATGTGCTGTTAGTGATCTTGTTTGAGATCATTATGATTTTCATTTACTAACTGTTTTGATGGTTTTCAGGTTTTTGGAGCTGTTCAAGAAGCACGAGCGACCCACAAAATGCCACCATTAATCCACAATCCTTTTAGCTCAATAGAGTCAGGTCATAATGTCATGGGATTAGGAAACAATAGCGTGAAATACATTTTGGAGCAGCTTCCAGGTGTTGGAGATTGCTCTAAGTATCGTCCAGTCTATCACAAATCAAGGCTTCCAGGCTCGGGATACCAACCAAACAAACGAGAAGATCATGAACTGTCTAAAGAAAGCCAATCAGGCTGTGCTCGAACTGAGCCCTTTCTCTCAGCCAAGAAGTATGATATGTTCAGTTGGCTTGATTCTCGGCATCGGCGACCTCCAAAACTTTTGGAAAATACAGATATTGAGTACTCATTAACTGGTAGCAGGCAAGTTATCTTCGACTATTTGTTTCAGTTTGAATTCTCTTTCCATCATTGTTCATGCTTGGAACATTTGAATTTAATGGTAACATTTGTTAACAGACGTACAGCAAGCACCAGTTTGCCAATGGCAATGCGTTTTAGACATTTGAGAGAGACGTCAAAGACATCTGTTGGTGTATTTCGGTCAGATATACATGGTCGAGGCTTGTTTTGTCTACGGGACATAGAGGCCGGGGAAATGGTGATAGAGTATGCTGGAGAGGTAACTTAAAATGAGATATCCTTTTTAAATCATATCCACAAACTTTTTTTAATGAAATTCACCACAGCTTTTTGTATTTCTTCTTCCTCAAGGTCATTCGTAACACACTCACCGATAATCGAGAAAAGTATTATCAATCCAAAGGCATAGGCTGTTATATGTTCAAAGTTGATGATAACTTCACAGTCGATGCCACATTAAAGGGTAATGCTGCAAGATTCATCAATCATTCTTGTGAGGTAAACTTTATTCGTTGTTTTAAGTGTGTGATCAATTGCTCAATACACATCGAAACTTTTGATTGTTACAGTAAACTAAAATCTTGTCTTTTTAAATATCTTACAGCCTAACTGCTATTCCCGTATTGTTGACATCCTTGGGAAGAAGCATATTATTATTTTTGCATTCCGACGCATCCCTCAAGGTGAAGAGCTGACATATGACTACAAGTTCCCCATTGAAGATGAAAAAATTCACTGTCATTGTCTTGCTCGGCGGTGCAGAAAATACCTCAACTAAATAATGTGTCCCTTTTTTATTTTTATCAGTCCATTTGCGGTTTGCTTTAGAAGCAATTTAAAATTTTTTACCCACTATGAGAAGGTTTTTGACTTTCTGTAATCATGTGTAGAAAGCAATGTTTCATATTTTGTTTAGCCCTGGCAATATCTTCTAGTTGAAGAGTTCAATTTTATCAAACTGAATAACAGCACAAACATCTTAAATCAAGGACAAACAATTTTGTCCAATTTTGATCTACTTAAACCACATGCTAATATATATTAACAGAACTTTTACTGCGTTTAAATGTTGCTTAGCCATGTAAAGTTTTAAAATTCAGCCATAAAGCAACTAAGAGAGTGTCAAATTTTGTCTGATTGAACTCTATTGTGTTAAGAATACATAGCTTTTAAGTTCATTTTTTCATTAACAAAATTAGTGAAATGAGCTGAAAAATGCTTCCATTAATTTCTTGTCATCAAGTCACTAGTCCTTTTTTTTTTTTAGCCTTGGTAAATGTTACTTATCTGAAATGGATTGCTTTTCTTTGACAGCTTATGCTTTATCTATTGTTCCTAAGTCTTGTTAGGTCTTGTTCTCTTTGTAAAAGAATCTTTCCTACTCTATAATAACATATGCTGTCATTTGCCACCATGTGCAGAATACTAATTGATATTTGTGCCAATTAATGCAAAAACCAAATATTACTAACAAATTGCTTACCACTACTGGCTTTATCTCATTTATGTATTTCAAGCTTAGGGTAGAAATTGAGTCACGACTATTTACATATGTACGTAGGTTTTTATTAGATACTTTTTAATGGTTAATTAGTTTGACAAAGCCTTTTGGTGAATTCTTGTCATTGTTTTTATTGTGTGGATCTAGTTGTAAATGCTAACTTTTGTTTTACAACTGACAAAAATGTCACAATCAATTGAGAAATTTCCCATTTTTAAACTGTAAATTTTTGTTTGTATTTCAAATATGAGCTGACCTATTCCCTCATTAGAAATGAAAGTTTATTTTTATAATCTATCTTTGTTTGGTGTTTAATTAAACATTGGTTGTGCTTCTAAAAATAATGACGAAGTTTATCTTACAAAATCGTGATAAGGTAGATAGATACCTACTTGTTTAAGAATTTGTCACAAAGATCTCCATATTTTCTGTCAAATTTGGGTTTACCTTTTTGATTGTTGTTTAATGTTGAGTAAATTGATGTGCATGGACATGTCTAGATTTTTGAAAGAATATTAATTATGGTTACAAATGTGATTTGTTGCTGAAAAGAAAGCTGTGTTTTCTTTTTCAAATTTTCTCTATTTGGTGTTGTGATAAGTTAGGATTTTGTGTGATTAACAAGCCTGTAATATTTCATTCGAATCCATATATATATTTTGCCTTACTAGAATAGTGCTGTTACCTGTATGTGTTTTGTATAAGAGCATCTTGTAATTTGGCTGCAATATTTGAATTGCTTTAAGTAACAGCTCAAACATTTGCATTATACTACAAATTAACATAGTTCAGTAGTTTTTCTATAAGTTTTGTTTTCCTTGCCTGTCCTTCCTCACCCTCTTTTTTAGTTAAATCTTGTGAAAATGCGTCAGTTGCAATTAGGAGTAAACCCAGCACCAATAGAAAAGTACCGTAACTATATCTCTACTTATACCTTTCTAATTATCTGATTATGTATTACCAACTTCTTTAGATGTGAAGTATGTGATATAGCATATATTTTGTGAATACTTTTATTTATATTGTGTGAGTTACTTGTATGTTACTTGTATTAATGTGACGTGCAAATTTTAGTGTCATGGCTGTGAAATGGCAGTTATTTGTGTACAGTTCAGTTTCAAGTGTAACCCAAGTCACCATTTCTATTTTATTTATTTTTCCACCTTTCTTGTTTAAGATTCTTCTTTTATTTTGTGGCCCTTTCCCCCTTCTGCGCACTCTGTTTGATTTTGTGTATCCCTGTGTTTCCATGTCCCAACTTTCTAAGTTGCCATTTAAAATAAAATAACTTTTAAAAGGGATCTTAGCTTACATGTCTGATAACTGTATCATCTCACCTGTATTTTCAGACATTAAATGTACCTACATTTTATTGAATCTCATATTGCCAATCATTTAAGTAGCCAGTAATCTCTCCACATGGTTAACAGAGGCCTAGCTCATCACGTCCCTGTTTGTTGCTACACGATTGTAGCTACAGCTACAGCCGACAATGCCCCAGTCAGCTTAATCTGAACCGTCTATAGACGAATTCATTACTTCCGCCAATGCTAGAATAACAACCAGAAGTAAACAGCGTTGAGAACTAAAGCGAAAACGAAAGATATCAATGCCTTTCCGAAGCTCTCGCCTAGTCCAAGCGCTCGGGGGGCAGGGGGCCGCGGTGCGGGGGCCCGATACAGGAAAGCATTGCCTACCCTTCAGGCGTTTTCAGCGACAATCATCGGCCCACGCCTAGATTGACACGGCCTCACTTCTTAGCTTTAAAAATGATTTATGAGCCTGGAGTCAAAAGGAGCCTAAACCCAAAGT